AGCTTTAGCCAAACTACCCCCTCAACCTTGGCAGGGACTTGTTCTCTTTGCCTGGAGAATCAGATAACACCTCTCCTGCTCTGCTTTCACTTCCTTGCAGATCTCTCTTTAGATGTCTTCTTCCAAGGCAGACTTTTCCTACTCCCTCCCCATACCTTCATTTTTTGTATAATGATGTTTTCCTCAATGATGGAACACAACAGCCAATACGCCACACAGCTTACATGTGAGGAGGCTCTGTCACCTAGGTTTATGGAGTTACACTCTATGGCATTTGCAAAATAATGAAATTATCTAACGACATATTTCAACATATATATATATATCATGTACATGCTATTTTTAGCACTTAGAATATATTTAATTCTTACATCACTTTATACAATTTTTTAAAAGATTTATTTATTTATTTTTCTAAAGTTACTGTGTGCTTTACATATGGGCCCTATATTTTTTTAATTAAAATTATTATTTTATGTGTGTGTGTGTGTGTGTGTGTTATATATATATATATATATATATATACATCATTCTTCACTCTGTACATCTTTCATCTCAGTAGTAATCCCCATGGACTTCCACCACCACTTCACCCATGTGCCGTCACCACAGTCCCATGTGCTCTTCCTGCCCCACTTTTGATCTTTTCCAGTTCCATCCATGTTGTTGCAAATGCCATGAGTTTGGTTTTTTTTTATTGCTAAGTAATATTCCATTGTGTATAGGTACCACATCTTCTTGATCCAGTCATCTCTTTTTGGACCTTTGGGTTGATTCTACATCTTCCCTATCATAAATAGTGCAGCAATAAACATAAGGGTGTAGATGTCCTTTTGAATTAATATTTTTGTGTCTTTTGGGTAGATACCTAGGAGTGGAATTGCTGGATCACATGGAAGATCCATTTTTAGCAGTTTGAGAAACCTCTACACAGCTTTCCATAGTGATTGTACCAGTTTGCATTCCCACCAGCAGTGCAGGAGAGTTCCTTTTTCTCCACAACCTTGCTAACATTTATTGTTGCTAAAGATTTATTTATTTATACATACAAGAGCTGGGTATGTGTAGGCCAGAGATGTGAGGGGAGGGGTGAGCGGATTAACCAGAGACTTGAGAAGCAAGACAAGCAGATTGACTGAAATACACTGCTGAGGAGAGGAGCGGGCAAGACAGAAGAGGTCTGCTACACCATGTGTGTCAGCTCTCTGGCTGGGGATCAGACATGCTGCAGTGGCTGCTGACAGCTTCATAGTGCTTAGTGCTAAGATTTAACCCTTTGTGCCACCAGGGAGGCCCTACTCTACCCTAATTTTATGAATAGAGAAACTGAGGTACATAGACATTAAATAACTTGTGTCAAGGTCACAAAGTTAGTGCTGGAGGTGAGACTGAAGCTAAGCTGTCTGGCTCTGCACGTGCTTTTTACCTACTGCACTATTTTGCCTATTTATAGTCTTAGTCACCAATACATTTCTTCCCAATTGCTTCAGTTATTGCTGTAAACCAACCATCCCAAAACTTGATGATTTAAATGATCGATTAGTTCTTAGAAAATTGGGTCAGGAATTCAGACAGGGCTTGATAAGCCTGTTCTGTTCTACCCAACTTCCATGTGATCTATATCATCACATTGTCTCATATCAGCTGAATTTTCTCTTAGAATATAGCCGTTGACTTCTCCCAGGGGGTCACAGAAGTTGAAAGTTCTTTTTTTTTTTTTTAAAGATTTATTTATTTATTCATACAGAACTGGGGTACAGGCCAGAGATGCGGAGGGTGAGAGGATTCACCAAAGACAGAGTGGGGAGCAGAACAGGCAGATTGAGGAAGTATACTGCTGAGGGGAGCAGCGGGTGGGTCAGAAGAGGTCTGCGGCGCCATGTGGATCTCCTCAGGGGCAGGCGGGAATTGAACTCATAGGGAAGTGGCTTAAGTTTCTTAGTGCTGCACGCCACCAGGGAGGGCCCTGAAAGTTCTTTTTAAATGCATTGATTCAAAAGTCCCAGAACTACATTGCTGCCATATTCTATCAGTTAAGTAAAAAATTAGCAAACTAGGCTATATACAGGGCAAGAGGAAATGGTTTACATCTCTAGATATCAAGAGTATACATGGAGGGAGAAACTGATGATTGCCACCTCAGAAAGCTATCTTCTGCCCACTCGAGTGCAAGTTCTAGTGTCTGGCACATAATAAACGCGCAATGTTTAAGTCATGAATTAAAGGAACAAGTGAAAAAGAAGGTAAAGAAAAGTTATGAAGGTGTAGAAGGAAAACCCAGCTGGCATTTGTCCTAGAAGTCAGGGAGGATAAGAAAGATAAAACTGAAAACTAAAACTTTTTTTCACATTTAGAAATCTTAAGAAAAGTAAAATGTATATTTAGACAGCATTTGTAAAGTTACAAATTGAAACAGTGCAAAGTGGCAGAGAATAAAATTTTTTCCTCCCACTTTTGTTCCCAATTCTCCCCAGTGTCAGTCACTTTAGAGCAAAAGATGCATATACAAAGACAAAGATATATGTCCTCTCTTCTTCTATTCTCCTCCCATGAAAACACACACATATAACACACAATAGTAGAACAAATATAGTTATATGCATGAGTTAGCATGTAACATTTTTCCATTTCCAGATCATTCCATATCCATATCTATATTTATATCTATCACACTCTTCCTTTCAGTATAATGGTTCTTATCATAAGCTGCCAAAATTAGGAGCTGTCTGCTGGTTTCAATAGAGTTGAAAATGTAAAGGTAGCAGTCTGGGATAAGAAGGATTGGGAGGTCAGAAAGTCAAGGGAGAAAAGTAGGTAGCAAAGGAAAGGAAGAAAGAGGGAAAGAAGTTAAAGATGGGACAGGTAGCACAGACTTAGGTATTGAAGAGTAACAAGACAAGTGGAAGATACAGAAGAGAAGGAATAAATAATTGTGACTCTAAAGGGGACTGGAAGTGATCCTGATTTTAGACAGAGAGAATAAGCTTGAAAGTAAAGGACACCTCTTTTAGGGAGAGACTGAGGAAAGAAAGGCTATGGGGGAGAGAGGGCACAGAAGTTTTGTAATAGTGGCCTGTGGGAGTTAAGAAAATTCATCCCTAGGGATCTCATTTCCCTCAGAAATGTAGGAGACATTTAGTTCTAACTTTAGTTCTAATTTTCACCAAAGTGGGCAGTTGAGTAGAGTTCGGTAAAGATATTAAGTGGTGGGGGGGTGGGGAGAGGACAGGAATACAACTTCTGAGTAGGAATGTATAGAGGGCTGCTTGAGGCTTACCAAGATTGCCTGTCCACATGGAGGACCTCACTGAAATTTTGGTTTGCAGTGTGTCAGTTCTCAGGATTAAGTAATTTCCAACACTGGCTCAAGAGTGGACAAGGTTAGTTGACTCTTCGCAGACTAATGATTTCGCAGGTCGTGGAGAATCAGCGGCAATTGAGTTGAGGGTGTTGGTGAATGCAAGAGACCATTTATGCCTAAGAGCTTTAGACTCAGACTGTCCACCTGTTGTGATCTGAACACAAGGTTGCAGGTCCAGCGAAGGCACACTACTGATCGAGGAAGGAATGCAGGAGAAGCATCACAAGACTGAGTCACACAAAGGGATAGGTAGAAGGGGCAAATGCAGCAATTGACACAACCATAAAATAAAGATCCTGGGACACCAAAGCCAGGATACCTGGCTCCCAGGTGAAGACAAGGACATGCAAATGGAGATGAAGCTCACTAGGGAATCTCTGGTCCTCTCAGATTCTATTCAAAGTCAATAAACCTAGGCTCACAAGGAGAGAGCCCCTCCCAAAGAGAAGCTGTCTATATCTAGACAATCTCTCCACCCACAGGGGCAGCCGATCCACTGCCCACCTGTGCCTATGCAGGTGCTCTTTCCAACCACTCTCCCTCTGCAGGGCGGTAGCCTCCTGCCTGCGGGTGACCTGTACCATGCAGGGACTTCTCTGCCCTGACCTCCCTCAGGGAAGGCCTCTTCCTAAGGCCACCTGCCTGCAACCACGCAGGTCTCTTTTCCTGGAAACCTGTCCCTTTTGGGGCAGCTCTTCCTGCCCACTTGCACATATACAAGAGTCTTTCCCTATCCTGTCTCTTTCTAATAAACTTCTGTTTAAATATAACTGAGTCTGTCTCATGAAGAATCTCTCCATGTGCTGCTGAAAGGGGAGCTCTGGTGAAACCTTTCCCAGAGTGAACACAAGGACCCCATAAGACGACATCACTACTAAGCAACCGAGTTAGCATCCACTATGTGACACGCCTGGTGGATCAGGAAAATCTTCCAAAGTGGAGTTTAGAGTGCAAGCTTACTGAGACTGAGATTGTGGCTGCCACATGAAGGCTGTAGTAAAACTAAATTGGACAGTAAATTGTCTTTTTTAGGGTGTATACTGGGGATCCGTATGGAGAAATCAGAGGATCGGACAATTCACTTCCTTCAACTGGTTCCATAATAGGGGGCTGCAATTTAGTAAAAGCAACAGCGTAGACACAAGGGGCCAAGAGGAGCCGCGTGGCGATGACGTCATTCACGGGGGCGGGAAGAAACTACCGTTAGACTACCGACCACACAAGCAGTTTGAAGCTGCTTAGTCTTTTCGCTGTCTAGCGTAGCAGATTCCCTTCTGTCTTTGTAGTTTGAAATAACAATAAAAGAAATGCAGCTCCCAACTTCCACCACTATCTGTTACCATGGAAGCGCTAGGGTAGTTAGGCCCGGACGACTCCATGTTACGTCATTGCCCCGGCGCGTTTCAGGATTGGTGGCTCCGCCCTGTCCTAAGGGAGGGGCAATAAACCGGAGAACTATGCCCACAGTACCTTGGCCTCTAGGATAACTTTGATCCCTATCAGACGCCGTCGGCACCTAACCCCGCCCACTCGGGGCGCAATCCCCGCCCCTGCCTTTACCGTCTCACGCAGCTTTGCAGCCCCGCCCCTGCCCGGGGCCCCTCCTCCGGTGAATCAGCTGATCTGGCAGACCCGCGGGGCTGCCAATCCTGCGCCGGATGCAAACCGCGGTGCTGCGGGTGGGGCGTCAGGTGAGAGAGTGTGGGTCCCGGGTCTGCCCCTTGGCTTCTGAGGGCTGATCGGTCGGGGCCTACGGTGTGCGGGAGGTGGGGCCCGGGAGCCAGGCGGGAGCCCAGGAGCGCTCTGCGGGAGCCCGTGGAGACCGCGCCCGCGTCCTCTCAAGCCAGCGTCTGATCGACAGCGCCCGCCTGCTGGGAAGCACCCTGTGCTGTCCGCTTGTCCCGGCCCCAGGTTCTCCCACTTGCCTCCGCGCCTCCCTACCCACACAGGCGCCACTGCAGTGGTCACAGACGCATGAAATTCCTTCACTTATCCCCTTCCCGCCTCACCCACGCTACCTTCCTGCCATTCATCGATGAGGATTTATTGAATGCCCACTCTTGACGCTGTGCAAATCAACCCGGGTCCCTGGCCACGAACCTTGGTGAGTGTTGCTGGCGTGTTTGCTCCGGGGATGCCGGTCGCCTGGAGTGTGGGTGGATCGAGGGTTTGGGGGATTTTGAAAACAGAAAATGGCTTTGATGATGAGATTTGGTAGTTTAGCCAAGCCTTTGGCGTGCCAGCCGCCGTATCAAGGGGGTGGTTGGTTCTTTTGAGAAGCGGAGGCAGCAAAGTAAGGTTGGGGCTGTCGTGAGGAAATGGCCCTAACGCTACTGGTTTTCTCTGGGTAATGAGGAGTTATAGAGTACTTTTGAGACGAGCAAATATAAGTTGGCAGACCTATTGTCCTATTGCTTCGATGTTTGATGATGAGCGAAAAGGAAAAACACACTGGCTAAAGTCACATATCCAAGTTAAATTTCCCCTGGACATAATCGCAGGTACTTACAGTCTTTTAAATTTGTTGGTGATTGTAAATGTTTTTAAACAGGCTTTAAAGAATAAAAGTGCGGTTTGAGATCATTTTGAACAGGTACAAAAATTCAGCAAACCTGAATTGGTCCAATAATTTTCTTTTCTTTTTTTCAACTTACAAACCAGTTTATCATGATTTGGAGTGACCGTTTGACTTTTAAATTAACAAATACTTGAGGAATTATAAACTTTGGAATTTTTTTTTATAAGCATAGACGTTAAGATACTGCCCTTTGAAACTGTGCGTACCTGGAATCGCGTTCACTTTGGGCAAGTTACTTAGCATCTCTTCTTCAGTTTCCTAATCTCTAAATTGGGGATAATAGTACCTTTAGATTTAATGACTCGTGAATTATATTTATTACATTGCCTGGTACTTGGTAACTATTCAGTATATTTTACTTAATGTTCAGTTTTTTATGATTATAAATTCCTACTTCCCTCACATCATTATGCAGATTCCTTTTTCCTAATGGTGGGAAAGAAAACTTATTTTAAGAGAAGAACTAGCTCATTTTGAAAAATCTAGGCATAGATCTCAGATAATTTTATATGACACACAGACTTATAGTTAGACCAAATATGGTTTCAGCTTGGCTTTGTAGTAACTTAGGTATTAAGGTTAAATTTATTAGTTCACAAAGTATGATTAGTACTAGTAGATTAGATTCAAGGTTCATAATTACAAGAAAAGTTGATGCTGTTTTGCAATACAGGTTTTCCACACTATCCAAAGGCAGACTGTGGCTAGTGATTTGGCTTGGTAAGGTATTTTTTGGTATGAGTGCTGTAACCATTAATTTCTGTGGAAAAATTTTCAAGCATTCCTAGATCACCCTCCCCCCCCTCCCCAAATAACCTACCAATAGAAACATTCTGCTTTGCATAGTGTGCATAGTGGAGAAAACCTGTGTTGGTATTTGAAAAGATGATGCAGAAAATTAAGTATCAAACAGTAATTGAGAGGAATATTTGAGTGGAATTAATTAAACCATTTAGAATTTAGGTTGTCAAATGAAACACTTTGGGCAAAGAAGCAAAGGTTATGGTAAAAATTTACTAACACCTGATTTTAATTTTTGCCTGATTATATGGAAATAGTACTAATCTTTTACCATTTGATGAATAACATGGGTGTTATGTAGTGTTTCCATTTAGAGCTATTGCCAAAGTGTATGACTGATTTGTACAAATCTCTAATTCTGTATTAACATGAAACTAAAATGATGCGCATTGAAAACAATGAAGAAAGGTGAAGAGGGGTGTTTTTGAGGTGATGTAAAAGAAAGCCTACTTACAGTGTGAGGTTGCGCCCTTTTCTCAGACACTGAGAGGAATGCTGTGAAATTTTAATGATTTCTAAATCATTTAGCTGTTTTTATTAGTTTGTGAATTAAACTTACTATGTATTCCAACTATTTGAGTTATAGAGTTTTCTGGTAGTTTTATTTTAGCAAATTTATTCATTTTAACTCCTCTCCACTGATGACCAATAATTCAGAGTTAGTAATAAAAAAGCAGTAGATTTCATAGGATATAATTCCTTGAGAAAAGACAAGGTACCCATAAATAAAGTAGTACCAAAGTAGGACTCGATTCCTCACTTACCTTGCCTGCTATCTCTCTCTATATATGTAATGGTTCTGTCTCTGTATTTTGTCTTGATGTTTGCCTGTGTCACATAGTTAGTAAAATAGCTGAACAGTTGAGTGTAGCCAAAGTAACTGATTCAAGTAGATCGATCAAGTTATATTTTAAAAAAAGATTTATTTATTCATACAGAACTGGGGTACAGGCCAGAGGTGCAGGGGCGGTGAGAGGATTCTCCAGCGACAGAGTGGGGAGCAGAACAGGCAGTTCTACTGAAGTACATTGCTGAGGGGAGCAGCAGGGGAGACAGGACAGGTCTGCTGTGCCATGTGGGTCAGCTCCAGGGTGGGGATGCGAACTCTCACAAGCCCTGAAGCAGAGCCCTGTCAGCTTTGCAGTGCTGTGCTGTAACCCATTGCGCCACTAGGGAGGGCCCAGATCAAGTAATATTTAAATCATGAGGTAAAGAGCACTTTTGGAAAGAGCAGTTGTAGATGTACTATTTTATTGTGGAATTTGTTTGATTTTTTAAAGAAAATACACATTTTTTTCAACTCCTAGGGGAAGATGATTTTGGGACCATTAAGTGCAATTGCCGTTCAGTGAATTATGTCCAAGGAATCAAATTTTTATCTCATTAATTCCATAAATTGATCAATTCGTGTTTCTTTAATCATTATCCATCACTTAAATATATATATTTTAAATCATCATAAAATTCTTTGGTTCACGTGCACTCATTATAAAGAAGGTGATGGTTAACCCCAAAAATGGCATCTGGATGAGCTAACTTTCACTTCAGAATTATTTTCTTGTATAACCTAAGTTTTTGTTGACTTGAATTATTTTTTAAATATTTATTTATTTATTTATTCATACAAAACTGGGTACAGGCCAGAGGGTGCAGGGGTGGTGAGAGGATTCACCAGAGACAGAGACAGAGTGGGGAGCAGAATAGGCAGATCAACGAAGTACACTGCTGAGGGTAGCAGTGGGCAGATCAGGAGACTGCCAATCCATATGGATGACCTCGGGGTGGGTGGGCGGGTAGGGATGGAACTCTTGCCCAGTAGCTTTAGCTTCTTAAAGCTGTGCTTTAACCCTCTGCGCCACCAGGGAGGGCCTGACTTGAATTCTTGACTAAACATAGGGCAATTACCCAAGCAAACATGTAGCAAAACTGATCATAATAGCTATTAAACTAGCAGTAAAGAGGGGTAATCCAGCTGTACTTTAGTAAGGAAATAGATAAACTATGGTTTATTCATGTAAAGGAATGAACTACTTCTTTGCTTATCAATCTAGATACTTCTCAAGTAGATAAAATTATGTTTACAAAAAAAAATTTGCAAAAGCATACATACAGGATGATACATTTATTTACATAGGATTTTAAAACAATGTAGCATATATTACATATTGATACATAAGAAAGTGCATGTAAGCAGAACCAGAAATGAGACTACCACTTTAGGAATAGTGGCTGACTATGGAAAAGGAAGGTTTGATAATTCAGATCTATGGATAACTTATACTGTAAAGATAGTTGAAGCAAATATGAAAATGTTAATGTTTATTAAAGCTCAGTGATGCACAGATTTGCTCATTATTATTATTTTTTATTTTTTTGAAACTAGCACTTAGAATTTTTATGTGTAATCAGGGCTTTCTCCTAATATGCTTTCTTTATTTTAGTTTCTAGTCTTCAAAGTAATAGACTCTGAGAAAACAATTGTTCTCTCCCCACAATAGGAAAAGAATGTGCCATTGCAGCTCCTGGGTACAGCTTTTTCTGAGGAGAAGAGACAGACCAGTTGTTTTGTTAGTTTTATTTTGCTGTTTGACTTGTGCTCCTGGAAAAAATGTTTTTCTTAGGATATGAGAATTGATCCTCCCAAAAGGCTGCAGGGGAATACAAATTCTAGGAACTCTTGGGAAATTCCTAAAAGTTCTGGTTAGTGATAACTATCTCTCAAAACAGGGAAACAGTTCATATCTTAAAACCTTGATGGGGTTTAGACAGAGTGACAGACATCATATTACCACAAAATCGCAAGTAGTCCTTAACACTTGTTTTTTGTGTCCTTACATTTTATTGCATTTGTTGTAAACCTTGAATTTATACTTCTGGTATACTAATTATTGCTCAAAGAAATAATTCTCCCTCTACAAGTGTAAGTAAATTTGATGACAGTGTGTTAAATGGTTGAATAATGACTAGTAAATTTAATTGCTGATCTTTAATGTCACCTAATTGTTATACAATACTTTCATCCCTAATCAAAAATACCATTATTAGTACTTTTAATGCAGTGTTTTGCTTTTTTTTTTGATATGTATATTCTCAGTTCAGTTATGTGGCTCCTTGATGCCCTAGTTGTGATCAGCTAGTAAAATAAAACAGAACATTTTTGATGTCTTTTTTGGAGTTTGGGTGTTTGGGTTCACTTTGGGAAAGGTTTCTCTAGAGCTCCCCTCTCGCGGCATGTCAGGAGTTCTCCAGGTGAGTTTCTCCACGAGACACTCAGTTATATTTAAAGAGCAGGTTTATTAGGGAAAAGGACAGAGGAGTTCAGGACTCTTGCATAGGCACAAGCAGGCAGGGAGAGATGCCCCAAAAAGGATGGGTTTGTTGAGAGGCCTGCATGGTTGCAGGCAGGCAGCCTTAGGAGAACAGCTTCCTCGGAGGGAGGTCAGTGCAGAGAAGCCTTGTCCAGTACAGACCCGGGGCAGGTTGGAGGCTGCTGCCCTGCAGAGAGACAGTGGGTGGGAAGAAGCACCAGCATAGTTACTGGTGGGCAGAGGACTGCTGCCCCGAGCCAGTGCAGAGACTGCCCTGGCATAGTCCTTTCCTCTTTGGGAGGGGTCACTCCTTTGTGGATTGGCCTGTTTACTTTGACTTTGAATAACTATGTGGACTCTCACAATGGGGCTAATCTCTGAATCTGTCTTTACCCTCAGGTTCTGTGCTTCCAATATTCCCTACAGCAGTTTGATATAGGAGTCTCTGTGACTGGGTTAATGGTCATGTTAGTTCCTTTTGCTCCCACCTCCCTGCATGAGTCAGGTTTTAACCTTGTAATGTATCCTTCTATTCTTTTCCTCCATCACTTTGATCTGTTTTGTAAATTGCCCCCCCCTTTTTAAAAAAAGGCCACATAAAAAAAAAAAAGAAGAAAAAAATGAAAAAAAAAAAATGCACAAGAAAAAATACACTATAGGATAAAACAACAGGCGCACATTATTGGCAATATGTGGGAATTTGAAATTCAATTGTTTCATGGGAATTAAGAGTAATTCTGAAAAATGCATTTCTAAAATATGCAGTGGGTACAAAAAGGAACTGAATGACCATTGCTGGGCATTTTATGGTGTAGAAACCTCTTTCCACCACTTCTGCCTCATAGACAATATCCATTTTAGGGGATTCTCACAGTCAGTACAGTGAAGTTTTATTATTAGCAAGTCATAAAAAAAACCCAAAAAACTAAAACCTTAGTGTCCCTGATTATACCAAAAGATGTCTCCATGTGCTAAGGAGAAGGGATTATTCTTTCTTAGGTTATCTAACATTTGTGAAGTGACTTGAAATAACAGTGTCTTCCTTGTTGGGAAATATTAGCAAGTCATGTGTGAAAGTTTCTATTATAAAATATTTGTATGTACAGGCGTTACAGGGCACCCTAATGTGAATTGGGTTGCCTAACTGTGGTTCCTCACTACGTGCTTAAGATTCAATCATACTGAGGACACACACACAAAAGTTTCGATAATGGGTTTATTTACAAGGAGAAAGGTAAAGGAACAACCCAGGGGGAAAGGAGAGAGAAATACAAGTTCTGCTGACTTGGACTCCAATAGCACACTGAAAACTGATCGAGAGCCAGACGACCAGCTGTAACCATCAGGCCAAGAGACCCCCAAACCCCACATGTTTGGTTTTATCCTAACCTGGCTGCTCAGCTCCACCCTCAGGTCCCAGGGTGCTTCTCCTTGGTATTGATGGGATTTGTAGTTCCAGTATCTGGAGTGGGGGTGGTGTCCATGAAACCTGTATCTGTTACACAGGCACTAGAAATCCAATTAGAATTTAAAACCAAGGACTTGTCTACTGAAGTACTCACTCAAAGATTGCAGTTTATGAGTGGGTATTATGGGTTCAAGAGTGCACTCATGAGTAAGTCATGTTTTTGACTTCCAGGAGTTTATCATATATGTTATTAGCTTAGTAAGTATATTATCATCTCAGTAAATAACATTATAATAATAAATAGCTTTTTAAGCTAGCCTACTGACACTATTCTGTGCATTAATTTACTGAATTCCTGAACTCTGGGTTGGGATTGAAGGGGCTAGTCACTTACCATAATGGTATCATTAAGGTAGAGATTTTAAGTGGTAGTTGCTGGCTGGTTTGTAGAGCCTTCAGTGAAGGTGAGTCCTCAAGTCTTTGTTAGTGGTTGGTAAAAGGTATAGTGTCAGAATATCTATAAAGTAGCAGTTATTGTTTTTATAGCTCTGATAAATCAGATGTTTGAATCAAAAGTTGCTTTAATCCATATGCAGACATATTGACTGAGCTTCTAGAACAAATATTAAGCATTTGCTAAGTTATTGTTTACTGCATTCACAGTATAAACTCTGGTTTACTTCATTGTAGTAGGATGTAACCAACTCAAATGTTCAGTAGAAAGTGTAAATGGACTGTGTGAAAACTGCAGTGATTTTGTATCAAGTCTGTCTGTATCCAAGTTCCCTAGGGCGTTGTGATAAGTATGCTCCTCTGTTACTGTCTTCCTTATCTTAGTGTCTTGTCATTCTCATTGCTAATTGTCTTCCCATTTTACATTGGACTTGTTCTGTAACACTCTTGTAAACTATAATTGTTAGTTATTATTTTGCTACTTTAATCAGTTCATCTACTTGATATTTTAGAACAGTAAAATGAGACAAGAGAATAAGGGAAGGGCCCAGCTGTAGTAGTTAGTCGTATGCCTTTGGGTTCTATTTACTTTATTGAGTCAAAAAGACAGAATACTCCATAAGGGCAGTAATTTGATTATTCATATAAACGTACTCTGTCTACAGAGACTTACTGACATTTGTAATATATATACCTGGACCATGCTAACCAGTTGGGATATTTCATTTGCATTTGGGAAAATGAGAAGTGGTAAATAATCAGGTGATATTAGGTCTAATCTATTTTAGGAAAGCTCAATATTCAAAAATATGACACTATAAAAAGAAAAGTTGAAGATTCTCAACATTTTGATTGTTAGACAGGAGACCATAATTAAGTTAACATACAGTGAATCAGCTGTGATGGAAAGAAGGCACCACAGACCAAAAACCTGACTCATCCACTACCCAGAGCTGGAGGTGGGGGAGAAAGGGTTAACAGCCATTAACCAGCTGCAGGAACTAAAATCCTTACTGGTACCATGGTCTAGGTCACAAAGCCTAAGCAGGTATCTGACTGCTGTAGGGGGTGTCAGGGTGTCTGGAGCACCGCCTGAAGGTGAAGATATGGAGATTGAGGGCCATTGTAGAAATCTGGCCCCTTTCAAATTCTACATAGTTTATTCAAAGTCAGCAACAAACAAACCACTCCAGATGGAGTGAGCCCCTCTCAGAGAGGAAGACTATTTCTGTACAAACTCTACACTGACTGGAGCAGCAGCCCTCTGCCGCCCTGTGCCTACTGGGGGCTCCTTTTTGCCAACTCTCTCTCCCTCTGCATGGAGCAGCCTCCTGCCTGCCCTTGACCTGTACCTGCCTCAGCGGAGGCCTCTCCTCAAGGCCGCCCACCTGCAACCATGCAGACCTCTCTCAGCAAACCTGTCCCTTTCAGGGCAGCCCTTTTTTGCCTCTTTGTGTCTGCCCAAGTGTCCTGTATTATTCTTCCCCTTTTATAAAAAAACCTGCCCGTTTGGATAGGACTGACGCCTCTGTGTCATGGAGAAACTCTCCTGGGAACTGGTGAAAGGGGAGCTCTGGTGAGCCAGAACCCCAGGACCCTATTCTCGTAACCCAGCAACTCCAAAAACAACATGTGCTGCAGGAAATGAGACGTGCACGTGCACGTGCATGTCCACCCTCTCCCAGTGTTCGCTGGTTTTGCTGGGTATTGTTTAGCTTTAGTCCAGGAACAGTTACTCTTTGATTGCTAATCAACTCAGGTTAGATCTTGCTTTAAGTTTTTTCAGTATTGCAATGAGCTATCCATTTTACTGAAAGTTAATTACTATCACACAGAGAGTATCAAGGGTCACCTAACAATCATATTTGTTAAACTAATAGTATTGACTAAATCTATTCAGATATCTTTTGTTTACAAAACACTATCCAACTTTGAGTGATTTAAAATCTTTCTAAAATATGTGACCAAGTGACTGAGTGGTTAAGGCGATGGGCTGCTAAAATCTTTCTAAAATAACATTAGGTAGAAAGTAATTTCCTCCAGATATACAGATGGGAAACGGTAAGAATTCACAGGCAACCTGGAGTAAGCAGATGGAACTGACATCACTCCTGCCGGCACAGGCTGTCTCCAGAGCACACTGACCATGCCATGTCCTTTGCAGAAAAATCACAAATTTGGCCCCAGTATTTTGTGGTCCACACAAATCCAGCCTTATTGCTTTGATTTTCATGTCCTTAAAAATGTCAATGTTTGAAATGCATTGAGCATTTTTGCCACCTGTTTATGTTATTATCTTTATTAAACATTGAGCTTCTACATTGATGGGTCATGATAGCTTTTGTGTCACTCTTCTTTGCTAAGTGCTAAAGATTTTAAAACAAGTATTTTAAATTCTTCCAACCTCTTACCATCTAGGTCTTTATACAGATGGTTTTGAATTGAGGTCAACTTGGGGAAAATGGCACGAGTTCCAATAAATGCAAGTCTTCCTATTTTAATGATCTGTTTTTTGTGTGTATTACTGAAAAGTACAAAAACTACAGAATCTTGACACATTCCTAAAGATATTTTAGAATTTTTTTATTGAATTGGTAATTATATGTTCCCATATTCCAGAAACATTTAAAAAGTAACCTGAGTGCCTATATAATGAACACTCAACACATTAGAATTTTAAAAATCTGTCTGACAAGGTACAGATTGATTCAAGGTAGTCATTCCTTCTTTGGCGTTACAATTGATGGTCAATAGGCATTTCTATAAACTCAGCGGGCAGGCTCAGTCTAGAAATCCCACTTTTGGCAAGGCACGGTCTAAAATAGTTTCAATCCACACTGCATGTTTATTACCCAGTGAATGTGCACTGTTAAAGAGGTGAGTCTTTTTTTAAATCTAAATGCTAAACTAGCAAATTATTCTTTCACTGCTCTTTATGCTTACTTGTGTTTCACCATTTAGGTCTTTATCCATCATATGTAAGGAGGGGATGATTTGGTGATGGGGTGCTCTCATTGACTGATGGACCCAAAGAAGAGAAGGTAAAACTATTCTTGTTCTTTTCCCTTGTTCTTCCTGGAAAACACTGCAACCCCACATTGTGTAGTTTCTCTTCAGTTTAATTTTCTTGCTGATGTTTATAATGTAGAAGTGACTTTTGTGTTGACTGGTCCAAAGAAAAGGCTTAAAATAAAGCAGATTAGTGAAAGGCTTGGTTGTAGGTTCCTTTCTTATGCTCCTAAAGGATCTGGATGTCTTAATCATTTTAAAGCTTTGAAAGCCACTTTTTGCACAGATAAATTCAGGTTTTCAGAAGTGGTCTTATTAATTGTAATCTTCTGTCTATAGAAAAGTATTCATAGAAGGCATTTAAAAGGGAGGATTAAAATTTGCAGTGTCCCAATCATATCAATATGCCTAATTACGAGTTAGAAGATTACTTAATGGGTCGAGAAATTCCTGAAAGTTATAAAAAAAAAACTATTTCCTTGTCTTATTAAAATGTTATATGCATTTTAATGCATCAGTGTTGTATGAAATGTGTTCTGTGAATATGAAATAATATACCATCAATGGCAATACATAGAAGATTGTTGTAAAAAGGAAATCCAGCTTATCTTAATGCAGCCATATGTTTTGTGGGTTTTTTGGAACCAAAGTCACCAGATAGATATCTTTGGCCAGCACATGAGTAAAGTATGAAGGATTTCACTGGTACCTGTTGTAAATTTATTTCTTAAATTTAAATAGTGATTACAGAGTATAAACTTAATGTAAAGTAAAATATGGATCCCTAGTGTGTCTCATCATCTGCTTTTTTTTTTCCAAATTAAAAACTACAGTTTGAAAATAAGATCCATTGGAAACATGTCATAGCTTTAATATGTAAATAAAGAATTAATATATTAAGGAGTTAGAATCTTGATATTTTATGCTACTAAATCATAAAACTTAAAAAAAAAAAAAGCCCAGATTTTGTTTGTTTCCTAAATAGAGGTAAGTGATTTGTTAGTTTAGAATTTCTTCAGGCCTTTTCTATAAGTAGTAGTTTTATCTCCATTACTGTGTCGTAGCCAAAGCATATAGTATGTGCTAGTTCATCTATCTGAGCTAGTCACTCAGGTGCTGGTAAAAGGAACAGATCTCTCATAGGGCTAATTAGGACCAAAGGATACTGTTCTAGACTGCAAGAGCCATTAAGCTGTTTTTCTTGGTGTTTGAAGCTCCACAGAGGCAGAAGGGTCCAAAGAACGAGGCCTTGTCCATGTCTGGCAGGCTGGATCCTGTTCTGTAACACCAGAGAGATTGCCAGGCTGGGGAGGAAAGACGGTTCTTCAAGCAGCCCTTGGAGTGAAACACGGTGTTCTTCTGACTGAAGGTATTGACAAGAATTGCTTAACAAACGTCTGAGGCTGGAAGAGCAAGTAAGAGTGTTACTGGGTATCAGGAGTTCTTTGTGAATTTTTCTGTAGCTTATGTTACTTCTGTTTTCAAAATATCTTCTTACTCCCTTTATCAGGAAATAGATTCTTAAATTTAAGATATACTGTAACTAGAAGAAAAGGGAAATTTTAGGTTTGAACTTTTAGTAATAAAATTTGCTAGCAATAATTTTATTGTAATAAGTACAGGAAAAGTTAACTTTTGAACCCCTGCCTAGTTAGATTCTTTACCTATGATCATTTGTTCATTAAATGTATCAGAATAAAAAAAAAAAGAAAAAAAAAAAGAAAATGTATCAGAATAATTATACCAAGAATTATTAATGCCTGTTAAATAGTTTTGTGTGCCAGGCATTAAACACTACTATTTCCACTTCATAGATAGAAAACTGAAGGTCAGGAAGGTTAAATAATTTTCCAAGTACACATGGCATTTAGAGTGTCAGTCAAATTTGGAACCTAGAGTCTAATCTCACCAACTGTTTTATCAGCCACTCAGTCATACTGTCCCAGTGTAGTTTCTCCCAGGCACAAATAGCAGCTCATGAGAACATCTAATAAAACTCTAAATCTATAACATACAGAAATATAGACTAATTTACATAAGAGTTGCCTTTAATTCTAATGATAATTTACTAACTCACTCATGGCAAATTTGACCTGGGCCAGGACCACCATCAATATCACTCAGTTATACTAAGTTTCTGCTCTTGTAAGCAAGTATTAAGGTCTTACATTTAACGTATAAATAATCCTTCTTCATAGGGACTAAAGGAAGACAGATTCTAGGAAGCAAAGCTAGATCATTATCATTTTGTCTTTGAGTACCTGGAATCTGCTTCTATGATAGTAGCAATTAGTAATGGATTAGCTTCTAAATTAAGCTTAAGGAAAGCTTAAGGAAAGCTTAATACCCTTTATTTAAGAATGGAATCCTGAAATGTGTAAAAATCTTCACTGTATTTTAGAACATTAAAAGAGGTCATTAAAAGATAAATAAATATGAAATATGCTTGAACCATATCACTAAATGGACCTTTGAAAATTAAAAAAAAATCCTATTTTGTTAAATGTCGAGGAAACTAGAAATTTGCTAATAAAAGTTCTACTTCCCTCCTTTTTGTTTTTATGCATTCAGATGGTGAGGTCTACAGTTTCGGAACTCTTCCCTGGAGAAGTGAACCAGCAGAGATTTGTCCTAGTAGCCCCAGTCTAGAAAGTGCCCTGGTTGGGCAACATGTTGTTACTGTGGCCTCAGGGAGTTTTCACAATGGAGCGGTGACAGAAAGTGGCGTAGTATACATGTGGGGTGAGAACTCTGCGGGCCAGTGTGCAGTGGCTAACCAACAATATGTTCCAGAACCAAATCCTGTCAACATTTCTGATTCTGAGACTAGTCCTTTGTTAGCAGTCAGAATTTTGCAATTGGCATGTGGCGAGGAGCACACTCTGGCATTGTCAATAAGCAGAGAGATTTGGGCATGGGGTACCGGTTGTCAGTTGGGCCTGATTACCACTACCTTCCCTGTGACAAAACCACAAAAGGTGGAACATCTTGCTGGTCGAGTAGTGCTACAAGTTGCCTGTGGTGCGTTTCACAGCTTAGCACTTGTACAGTGCCTCCCTTCCCAGGATCTGAAGCCAGTCCCAGAAAGATGCAACCAGTGCAGCCAGCTCTTAATTACTATGACTGACAAAGAAGACCATGTGATTATATCAGACAGTCATTGCTGCCCATTAGGCGTGACACTGTCAGAATCCCAGGAAGGGAATCAGGCCAGCACTGCCATCAGCCCCTACACTGAAACCCTTGAGAGTCAGGGAGAAGTATTTGAGAACACTCCTCCGCTAGAAAAAGATGTTCCCGTTGCTACAGAACTGAAAGTTGAGAATGTTCAGGCCACAAGTAGTGGCGATGCCATTTCCTCTCAACAAGACATCATGGGAACTACTGAAGTTTCTTCTGCCAGAAGTATACCATCAAACCCTGACTCTCAGGCTGTACATGAGTGCAGGCGGAAACAGTCGGATCACTCAGTGACAGAGAATTCAGGGAACAGTGAAAAACCAGTGCCATCTCAGGTACCTACTAAATTTTATTATGTACAGGTATTTCTGGAGTTGAACCATCTGAATTTTCTTTAGAAACTTCAAATGTGTAAGATTGGGTAGCATTTTAAATTTTTGAAGTTTTACTATGAATTTGATTTTTAATTCCTGTTTTCCCCTGTGGCTAAGGTTCTGAATTTTGATAGCAAACCCTCTCCTCTATTTATATACTTGCAAAGACCCCTCTGACTCATTTTGTGTTATTCTTCAGATTTTGTAGAGAAAAGTCCTTTCTTTCATTATCAGAGAAGTTGTTATGTGGAAGGTCTCTCAATTGTGGGCAAACTTTAAAATATATATGGCATTACATATTATCTGATTTCTTTCAGCTATACCTGTGGTCCTTACTGGGCATTTTTTGGATAGGGAAGAGGACTGATATCTTCATCTTATTTAAAACATTCTCATTTGAACACTTATAAATGGAGAAAAAAGCTGTTTACGAGTAGAATATTTTAAAGTTCGACTCTGTTTAAAAAAAACATTTTTAAAGGATAATCAATTTTTTACTTTTAGTGTAAACCTTGTAATTTTGCTTTCACCAAAAGTCTAAGGTAAAATTGAAACAAAACATGAACATATGATCATAACAGAACTTTCCTGTGGTTTTTTTTTTTAGCTTTTTAAAACTACATAACCTCTTGATTTGTTATTCCTCATGTTTATACTTTCAGAATGAAAACATGGCTTAGAGATATTCTAAAGCTTTTATTTCACACTGTGCTCACAGAAATTTGTGGATTTTTATTTTTAAATTAAGAATAAGCTGTTTGGAGAAAGGTATTTAAAAAATCTAAACAAAGCAAAAGTCAGACTTTAACAGGAACACATGTAGAAAATTCTTAATTCTTGTACATGGTTATAAGAGAGTTTGACTTTTTAAAAATCATTTTTCCAACTTATTAAATTTAAAGTTAAAAGTTTATTGTAGGCCCTCCCTGGTGGCGCAGCGGGTTAAAGCACAGCACTAAGAAGCTAAAGCCACTTCCGCATGAGTTCAATCCCCGCCTGCCCCGGAGGTGACCACATGGCGCGGCAGACCTCTCCTGACCCGCCCGCTGCTCCCCTCAGCAGTGTGCTTCGTCTATCTGCCTGTTCTGCTCCCCGCTCTGTCTCTGGTGAAGCCTCTCACCCTCCACATCTCTGGCCTGTACCCCAGTTCTGTATGAATAAAAAAAAAAAAAAAAAAGTTTATTGTATACACCTTAATTATTTGATTGTCATCATTGAAATTGTATTTTCCTTGAACATACTATGTTAAACATAGAAAGTTTTTGCTAGCTGACCTGTACTAATTTTGGCAGTGTGGGTTTATATCAAATTTATTTATTTATTTTTAAAGAATTCTTTACTTATGCATACAAGAACTGGGGTACAGGCCAGAGGTTGGGGGTGGGTGTGAGAGGATTCACCAGAGACAGAGTAGGGAGCAGAACAGGCAGATGTACTGAAATACACAGCTGGGGGGAGCAGCTGTTGGGTTCGGAGAGGTCTGCCCCCACCACATGGGTCACCTCCAACAGGACCGGTTGGGAATTGAACTCATTGTGTTGCAGTGGCTGTGGATCTCTCATAGTGCTGTGTTTTAACCCCGTTGCACCATCAGGGAGGGCCCAATTTATACCAAATTTAATCCAATTTTGTGTAAATACTGTTTCAATCGGAAAGCAAATTCATTGAATATGTAAGTTAGGGAAAGATGTTTTTTCCTCTTCTGGCCAGAAATACCTGAAACAGAATTATCCCACTTTTTGTGAAATAAACCAAATATTTAGCAGTGAGGCTTAATATCTCACTGTTAAATTTTATTATAGGTTGACCCAGACTCTTATTATCAAAATTCTGTTTTTGTTGTTGTTATGTTAGTTTATTCACTGTGTTGTTAAAGTAGAGGAACCAGTTAGAACAATAGTTTCAAGTTTACGTAAGCTAGAATTTTGGTGATTTTCCTTCCACCTCATGGTAAGAACTACCTAAAACAGTCAACCCTAAATACCTTGCTGCTTTTATTGTAAGCCTTTGAAAACAAAGGGTGGAAATAGTAATGCTAGTTCTTGTGAATACATCATGGGAATGTTATTACAACAGAAATAATAGACTTTGTATTTTTCTTTTGCTTTATATATTTTGTTATTAGATATTTTAAATACTCACTTTCATAGAAGTAGCTTTTCTCAACTTGGTGTTTAGCCAACAAAATGTACCGAGTATCTATTAACATGTCAGTCACTATGCTAGGCAACAGGAATTAACTCCTTAACAAAATCAAAAGTCAGTGTTAATTAATTAATTTATTTTTGGTTAGAATAGGGTCTTTTGTTTAGTACAGGAAGCAAATTTTCCATCGGGACCTATGCTTCTAAGCCAAGAGCTTTCTTGTGTGTTTAGTAGGTACATTGAATGACTTATTTTTAGTAAACAATGGTGCTTGACAGCTCAGGGTAAATTTCAACTGATTTTCCCCTAAGATATTGAAAACTTTAGTTTGATTTTTCAAGTAGAGCTATGAATCACACTAATAACATTGGTTCCAAATGTTTAATTATTAACTCATCATTTATGTTCTTTGGTGGTGAGCAAAGGTAAATCCTTCACTTGACCTATCCCCTGGCTCGTGGAAAAGAGCTCATTCTGGAGACAGTAGAATGTCTTGAATTTAAGAATGCAATCTGTGAAAATTTTCTGATGAGTAATCAATAATAAAACCTGCATTTTCTTGGTCTTCTACCCATGGCTGTCACAATGTTCTTCACACTAAGGGCCACAGTTTCTGTACCATTCTTCCCTCTCCTCTTCTGGCTGAATTTTACAAAGGCAGTTGGAGCTTATTTTTAAATATGATATGATTGGAAAGCATAATACGTAAGCAAAAGGAAGTACTTTTGACAAGGAGCTGTGTTTTACATATTCATTTCCATGTAGAGCATTAATCCCCAAGCCACAGGGTCTCCATTCTTGGAGATAAAGAGACCTTTTGCTGTTGTTTTAGATTCTGTTGCCAAATAGTAATGGATATTAAACTTGCTTTTTATTGATTACTTGTATAATGAGTTACATTTTTGTATACTTTTTTATGTGTGTATATTTTAGCCTCTTATAGAAGAAGCAGCTCCTAACCTTCACAGCCCACCAACCACAAGCACCTCAGCCCTAAACAGCCTAGTGGTCTCTTGTGCATCTGCTGTTGGTGTGAGAGTGGCTGCCACATACGAAGCTGGAGCCTTGTCTCTTAAGAAAGTCATGAACTTTTATAGTACAGCCCCCTGTGAGCCTGGCGCTCAGGCAGGCAGTAGTTGCATAGGCCCAGAAGGTCTGAAAGATAGCAGAGAAGAGCAGGTTAAGCAGGAGTCAATGCAAGGAAAGAAAAGTTCAAGTCTTGTGGATATCAGAGAAGAAGAATCAGAGGGAGGTAGCCGAAGACTCTCCCTCCCTGGATTGTTGTCGCAAGGTAAGCTGATAGCCAGGTTTTGGGAATTGATTTTTGGTAGATCCAAGATGCTCCCAACATCACACATAATATTATACAGTAAGTTAGATTTCCTTATTGCTAGAGTTGACATTTTGATGTCAGCTTTTATTTAATTTTGTTCATTTAAAAATTGCATTATTTCTCTGCTGTAGAAATAACTTTAGAATGTAATATTTTCATGAGATTTGCTTCTGTTTATTAACCTTATGAATCTTACTGTTTTGGAACATAGCGAGACTCCCTATTTCCTATTTGGAATCTAAACTCCAGATGAAGTTACAGATGTATACATTAGATATGTGAGGAGTTACTGTACTTGACCCTGACAGTAGAGAGAAAACTTCAGTAAGAGGAAACTTCATTTTCTGAAACCATTGGCTATATGCTTAGAGTATTAAGAGTACAATGAGTTGGTTGTTCTGAATTTCTTAGTCAGTTCAGAAATTTCAGCCATCTTGACTTGTGCTTATCAGAATGTGACTGCAGACCAGAAACATCAGCAGCACTTGGGCATTTGTTAGAGATGCAGAATCTCAGGCTCTCCTCCAAGCTTACTGAATCAGAATATGCCTTGGAACAAGGTCCTCAGGTGACTGGTGTGCACATTAAAGTTTGAGAGTATCGAATTAGATCTGGGGCTACCAAATCTTTTCTCTAAAGAGAAATATTTTGTGATTTGTGGGCTACACAGTTTTTATTACAACCACTTAAGTTTGCTGTTGTTGCTTGAAGTCTTCAGATAGTACATAAATGATTGAGCTGAGCTCCACTCTATTAAAACATTATTTACAAAACAGGTAATGAGCAGTTTCTGACCCACGGGTTGTAGTTTACCAACCCCTGTTTACTCTATCTTGTGCAAAACTCTAAAGTTAGCCATCCTAGACTATATCAAAACTTGCCTTTCCACTCTGTCCTAGTCCCTTTATACATGTCATTTACTTATGCTACTGAGCTCTTATGTTCTAGTGTCTTCTAGGAGCTTCACATTGGACTTAACTTTTCATTTACAAGTAAAGTCCTTATTCCTGATAAATTTGAAAATATTTTCTTTGTGTATGGGTATATACATGTGTTAAAAATGTACATAAAATATGTGTGTGTATACCTAATAAATTAAGCCTGAAAAGAACCTCATGTCAGAATGTCCTTATTCTGAAATGTCCTTTAACATTTTCACTCAAAGGATATTTGAGATCTCCCTGAACCATAACTGATGTGTTGTTGATTTCTATGATGTTATTAGACCATATGGAATATGCTGTACCACTAACAGATTTATTTTCTTGGGTTAAATTTTACTTTGTAATCTAAATTATCTTTGGTAAATATTTACATGTATTCTTTTTAAAAATTATCTGGAGTACATCTTTGAGAAAATTTAGTAGTTTGATTTGATTCTCTATATGTACAAGTGGATCATATATTTTTCAGGGATGTTGATTTCAGCATGTGATTATTATTTTTGTCACCTTCAAGTTAATGACCACATTAATAAGGCTATATTTAGTGACATTTGATGATACTCCTCAAAACATCCTGTCACCAAAATGGTGTACAAGATTTATATTAGTGTCTTTATTATGATTTTGAGCACTATATAATGTGTCAATATTCTTTTTTAAAACATTGTTTTCTATAAAATAATTTGAGTGGGCAGGCAAAATATAAGCTGTTTCTAGTACTTCTCATTCATAACCTTTCCCCCTCTATCAAAACTTAAATTTTGTATCTAAAATAAACTCCTTATTACAATACTTATATTTGAAAAGGATTTTGTCTTAGAAAGACTGAACATTTAACCCTGCTTTGAAATAGGAAGAAAATGTCCATCAGCCTTAATGTAATATTATATTAAGTATATTCTTTAGAATACAAGGTCTCACAGACATTCTGCATAACATTGGCCACGTGTATAGAAGCTGGGCTTAGTTAAAGGAATTTAACTGGATTTTTGATTGTAGGACTTATCAGAATCTTTAGCATGTTAATGTGTGTGACTTTCTACAAGGTAGGTAGTGGGAGAAGAGAGTATTATAGACCCATTTGCCAAACTCATTCAACAATTAAATTCCCCATTTTTGCAGAGAAAATTTTTCACAGATGCCAAGTGAATATGTTTTCTTGAAAATCAAGTTTATTTACATGATATATGTCCTCAATGTATCTCTGTCTGGTTTGTTTTTAGTTTCCCCCCGGCTCTTAAGAAAAGCTGCAAGGGTGAAAACACGGACAGTGGTTCTGACCCCCACGTACAGTGGAGAAGCAGATGCACTGCTGCCTTCTCTGAGAACAGAGGTGTGGACTTGGGGGAAAGGGAAGGAAGGTCAGCTGGGGCATGGCGATGTTTTGCCCAGGTGAGTGCTGTCGCTGTTTACTATTAAAAATTGGATTGAAACAGGCCTCCTTGGTGGCGTAGTGGGTTAAAGAGCAGCACTGTGAAGCCATCTGCTACCATTGCAGCAGAAGTTCAATCCCTGGCCAGGGAGGTGACCCACATGACACAGCGGACCTCTCCTGGCTCACTTGCTGCTCCCCTCGGCAGTTTTTTTCAGTCCATCTGCCCGTTCTGGTCCCCACTATGTCTCTGGTAAACTCTCTTACCACCCACAGCTATTTATCTGTACATAAATAAATAAATCTTTAAAAAAATAAGAAGAACTGGCTTAAACATCTGACTTCTCTCCTGTGCAGGTTTCTGAATCTCTATTTTCCTGTAAAGAAAATTTGGTCCCTTCTAACTCCAGATTGTTATACACCATGAACTCTGATTAAAAAAAAAACAACAACCAAAAAATAGCTGTCATCTTAGTTTTGAACTTGCTCCCAATAATAAAGGACTTATTGGGGTGTTCAGGATAAGATTGTGTTATATCAGAACACTTGAATGCTTCAAATTTTGAACATTTAAGGAAAAAAAAATCATAATTTTTTTTTGATTTTGATTTTATTTTATTTTATTAAAAAGTTTATTTTTACATCATTTTGCACATTTTTTTTTCATCTCAATTGTAATCCCCACGGGTTTCCCATCACCATATCACCCCTGTGCCACCACCATAGTCCCGTGCATTTCCCTCCCTTCCCCCCGTTTTTGGTCCCATTCCCCACTCCACCCCCACAGAATGTCTCTGGTCTATGGTTGTTCATTATTTTTGTTATTTTCTCGCCTGGTCCATTATACTCCTGCTATGAGTGAAACCATCCGGTATTTTTCTTTCTCTTTCTGGCTTATCTCACTAAGCATGATCTTTTCCAGCTCCATCCAAGTTGCTGCAAAAGACATGTATCTCTCTTTTTTGGTTGCTGAGTAATATTCCATTGTATATATGTACCACATCTTTCTAATCCAGTCATCTACTTTTGGGCATTTGGGCTGCTTCCATGTTTTTCCAATTGTAAATAAAGCAGCAATAAACATGGGGGTACAAGTATCTTTTTCAATCAGTGTTTTTGTGTCTTTTGGGTAGATACCTAGGAGTGGGATTGCTGGGTCATAGGGAAGCTCCACGTTTAGCAGTTTGAGGAACCTCCAAACAGTTTTCCATAGTGGTTGTACTAGTTTGCATTCCCACCAGCAATGCAGGAGAGTTCCTTTTTCTCCACATCCTCGCCAACATTTGTTGTTGCTAGTTGTTTGAAGATGTGCCATTCTCACTGGGGTGAGGTGGTATCTCATTGTGGTTTTAATTTGCATCTCCCTTATTACGAGTGATGTTGAACAAAAAATCATAATTTTTTTACCTTAAAAATGTCTTTGTGATGCTGCCAAAATAACTACAACCACACAATCATGTATGTCCATGTACTTAGAACAGGGGAAAATTGTTGTTTTTCTTTAAGAGGAACTCAATAACAAGTTAGATATTTGCAGCTCTTGTAAGCATGGAGTGACTACCTAAAATAGCCAGTTAATATTAAATGTTCTTAGCAGAGCATGGAAACTATGGGATTAAGATTAAATGGTCTAACTTTTATGCATATATTTCATTGCACTCTAAGTATACTCTGCCATCATGAGTCATTCACAGTTTTATGATTCTTAACCAATTCTGAATTATGGTGGTTAGTGAATTATAGATAAAGATTAAATTAAAACTATTCAGAATTTGTACTATTTAGAAGTAGATTGAACATATATCCAGTATTTTTAACGTTTTCTTTGGAAATGATTTTTTTTCTTGGAAGCACTTACTATATGATCTGAGAAAGGTCATGATTTTGCTGAGAATACTTATTACTTTGAGTTCCTGTGTGTGTTTCTTCTTTAAGGCTTCAACCATTGTGTGTAAAATGTCTAGACGGTAAAGAAGTCATTCATCTGGAAGCAGGTGGTTACCATTCTCTTGCACTGACTGCGAAATCCCAGGTAAGCAAGACTATTAAAAGCTGATCTTAATTTCATGTGGGTCAACATGCTGAGATTGGATCATCCTTCTGTTGAGTATCTGTTGTATATGTCTGCCAACAAAACTGTGTCTTATTTGAGTTTTCTAATGTTTTAAGTGATGCTGTCTCCATTTTAAAGTTTAAAAAAAGGGAGATTAAGAGAAATTATGTAACGAGTCTAAAACTGAGTTACTGAAATTGCTTTCCAGAATCACTTAAAACCACACTCACATACATAAATTTTCTTGGGAGAAGTGATTTTTGAAAGTTATTAACATCTTTATCTTTTTAGGAAGTCAGTTTTGTGAAGACTTTAATATTTTATTTTACTTTTCATATAATAAGTTAGTCAGATTTAATATAACTGAGTATATAAGTATGAATATAAGAAAAGAATATGAGTATTTGTTGTTACTTAATATGGTGAATCATCCAAAGGACAAAAAGAAAAAAGAAATAGGGAAGATTTTCAGTTATAAAATAAACAGAAAAATTACCGATTTACATACATAAAAAAATGTTCATTATTACAACAGAGGGATTAAGGGCATAGGAATAATTTCAGTAGGAATTGAGTAGAGACGATATAATATAACTCATAGGTCAAGAAAGAAAATAGGAATTCTACTTCTAGATGAACTAAAGGTACAGATGTTAAAAAATAAAACCTTATTTGTAAAACATAATAATGAAACCTTGTAAGAACAAATTTTGCTGATTTTTAGTAGTCCTGAACAGAAAAAAAAAATTTACAAACAAAATTAAGATACATAACAAACCAGGAAAAAACATTTGCAACACATGATAAAGTGTTGCTATTCTGCAACATGAAGAAAAATGTGGAAATAATATTTATATTCCCTTGATAAAAGAAGAACTAGAAATGGCTAGTAATGTATAGAGATGTTTATTCACCCAGTAAGCAAATTTAAAACCACTCAAATATTCTCTCATTTACTGGATTAGCAAGGATTGCATTTAATATACAGTGTTGGTGAGGATAAGATAATTCCTGGGATTTAAGTCCTGGCTTTGCCACTTAGAAATTTGTGATTTGGGGTGAGTTAATTGACTTCTCTAGGCCAATTTCCTTGTTTGTGAAAAAAGGGTGGTTGGTGAAAATTCAGCATTATTTCATACACAGAAGTGTTAAGAACAATGCCTGGCAGGTAGTAACACTGAGAAGTATAGTTGCTATCAGTCCTTGGTCTCTGTCTCTTCATATGGACTCTGCCTGTTATTTCTGTGGCCTGTTTTAAAAGGAATGTTATTAATATCTTGTTTTACTACAACTTATATGTGTACATATGTGGTGTCTGTGTGTCCATATGTATATATTGTAAATGCTCAGAAATCACATGTAAATCAGGTAACTTTTACTTTCTTATGGTTTTCTAATAGATATACTCATGGGGTAGCAATACCTTTGGTCAACTTGGGCATTCTGATTGTCCGACTACAGTTCCTCGTCTTGCAAAGGTACTTTTCTGAACATGATAACCTTTATAGCAGCATACTCCAGAATACTAAGCTACAATACTTCATATTTGTCAAATATCTATTCTTTAAAATTAGAATTGTGTATCTGTAGCCTAAATTTGTTTTGATGTACATTAAAAAAGAACTTTTTAGGAAACATGAAGTGACTTGTTTTCAGGCTAATTCTTTTTTGATGTGTTTGTATCCCATTTTAGCTTTCATTGTTCATTGAATATTCATAGCTTTTGTCTTTTTTAAAGTAAAAGTGAAAAAAGTTCTTTTAACAAATGCTTTAGATTATGATGTTTTCTTCTGAGCTTTATACTACTAAATAATGCCTACTCTTTGATATCTTATTTAACTTTGACTTTTGCATAATTTCACTTGAGTGTTACATAACTTTTTTTAAAAAACACACACATAAATATAGTGATAAGATCTTTTTGTAATCATTTTCATTTTCTCTAGTAAAGTTAAAAATATAGGTGATTTATTTACTGTTGTGAATTGGTTTTAGATTACATAAGTCTGTTGAACCATTGGTAGCTTCTATCCACTTTAAAACTAACTTATAGCTGTGTTTCTCAACCTTTTTTCTGCTCCAAACCCCTGAGGAAATACTAAGTTCTCATCAGTAATATTGACTCCTTCCACAAGATTTGTTGTGAGGGTAGAGGGGAGGGGATGGATGGGAACGTGCATGGTGCTAGCTTCACAGAGTGGAATATGGAGCTCGTGTATTTATAGATTGCTTCTAATATCTCCCCATCCCAAAGATGCTCCCTCCACTGACTATTAAAGACCAAGGACAGCACCTTGAGTTCAGAAACAAGATTTATTATCAGTTATGTTTAATACATAGCCTATGGAAATGAAATTCCACCTGTTGCCTTCATTTTGGACAGAAAATATCTTGCTGTTTTTGCAGGTAAACAGTGAAAATGGAGTTTGGAGCGTAGCTGCAGGCCATGATTATTCCCTTTTTTTAGTGGATACTGAAGACTTCCAGCCTGAGTTATATTACAGCGGCCGACAGGACCCTACAGAAGGTGACAACCTTCCAGAAAATCCCAGTGGTACTAAGAATCCAGTTCTCCTCTCCTGTAGTAAGGTGAACAGGACTTGGATCCTAAGGCCTGAACTTTATAATACACAGAAATCTTTTTGTTTTCATTGTTATCTATATGCCAAACTCTTGCTAATTATGTCCGACTACTATGTTTAACATTGTAAGCCCTTTCCAATTTCCTTTCATTCCTTATCTTTTTCTGGCTTATTTCTCTCCACAGTGCAGCTAACCATCTTATATACTATCTAGTTTGCTTATTTTATCTGTTACCTGACCTCCTTAACTATTACAGAGCATAGGCATTTTTTTTTTTAAGATTTATTTATTTCTGCATACAGAACTGGGGTACAGGCCAGAGGTGCAGAGGTGTTGAGTCTTTTCTAGAGACAGAGTGGGGAGCACAACAGGCAGATCAATGAAGTACACTGCTGAGGGGAGCAGCGGGCAAGACAGGAGGGATCTGCCGTGCCATGTGGATCACCTCTGGGGCAGGGTATTGAACTCGCACTGAAGCAGCTGCAGCTAGCTTGCAGTGTTGCATCCTAACCTGTTGTGCCACCAGGGAGGGCCCAAGAATAGGGACTTTTGACTCTGTTTGCTGCTGTATCCACATATAGTAACTATTTTATAAATATTTATGGAATATTGAAAAGTACATTTCACAGCAAAGTTTCCTGACTGCATTCATGGAGAAGTGAAATTGGAAACAGATGATTTTTTTTTTTAAAGATTTATTTATTTGTGCATACAGAACTGGGGTACAGGCCAGAGGCTCAGGGGCGGTGAGAGGCTTCACCAGAGACAGAGTGGGGAGCAGAACAGGCAGATCGATGAAGTACACTGCTGAGGGGAGCAGCGGGTGGGTCAGAAGAGGTCTGCCACGCCATGTGGTCACCTCCGGGGCAGGCGGGAATCGAACTCATGTGGAAGTGACTTTAGCTTCTCAGTGCTGTGCTTTAACCTGCTGCGCCACCAGGGAGGGCCAAGTAGATGAAGTTTTAACTTAGAGTAGAATATCAACACTGCAGGGTCCAGAGATGGGCTCCTGGCTGACAGCACCAGCAATGCTATTTCCCTTCTGCTTTTAGCTTTTCATTTCATTTACTTCTTTCTCATTTGTTGATCTGAATTTCTTTGCTTTCTTTCTTATTTAAAAACTTAAAACCATTAGCTTGTTTTCTGTTACCTATTTCACATACTCACAGTGGTATGCTGCAAGGAAATTAACCTTCGAAGCTAGTATATTCTTATTGTTACTGAATAACATAACCTGTTGACTGTTTTTAATCTTTTGTGTTTTTTTTTTGCTAATTACGTAAGCTATTAATGTATAGGGCAAGATCTTTCTTGCTAAAGGCAGTATTGGCTAAGACTTGGCTCTTGACCTATATATAGTCTATTGTTCCAGACACACCAATTGACTTCCTATAGTTGCTAGCTCCTGCTCCACATTCCTCACGAAAGATTTCACACACCAGATTGATAAAAGGGGGAGGCTCTAATATGTGTCTCTAGTTGTCCCAGAATGTTAATAGTCTCAAGTCTACAACTTGGTTGCCTAGTTTAATGGGGATATATGAATAAAGGCATTGAATGCTTTTGTTCATTGGTGCTGTAAATATATGACAAGAAATCCTTTTTAAAGAAAGCCCCTTGAAACTGACCATAGAACTGAGGCGTATACAGCAAAGGAGCGGTGTGAGGGGCAAAACAAGGAGGGATGAGCACAAGGGGACGTGGTGATGGTTCTGAGGTGATACAATAGCAGAACTATGGCGACTACAATGATATGAGAAAAAAACAAAGAGAGGAAATCCTTTTATGCTGTACTTTTAAGAGACACAAATGCTAAAGCCTTTGTATTTTGGTGTGCAGTTCTCTGCTTTTATTTATCTTATTACATGCAACAAGAAGTCCTAAGATATGTGTCATTTGGATCTCTATACCTGTAGAGTTTCTGTCTGTGATTCTAAACATTTTTACTGTAAAATTAATTGGTATTGTGGCAATAAATAAAAGTAAGGCTGTATTTAGTTTTATGTATATGTGCGTGTGTGTACATAGGTATATACACATACACATATCTATGTAGAGGGAGAGATTCATCTAGATATACATATAACAATGGTGTACTAGTAACCCAACTCTAAAACAAACAAAAGGAAACACTTCTCTGTAATGTTTGCTAGTTTTCTTGATAATTTTACTGTCTAGTTCCAAGCCACCAATGATTTAATAAATAACTTGCAAAATTCCTGAACACTTACCATTTTGTTCTCATTAGTAGATACAAACCAGCTTCAGTGTATAACTTGTTACTAACAAATTATACATTATTTTTAATCTTTTTTTTTTTTTGTCTCTGTTTCAGCTTGGCTATATAAGCAGAGTGGCTGCAGGAAAAGACAGCTGTCTAGCCTTGGTGGACAAAAACATTATGGGATATATTGCCAGTCTCCATGAGTTGGCTACCACAGAAAGACGGTTTTATTCAAAACTAAGTGATATCAAATCTCAGATTCTCAGGCCTCTTCTCAGTTTAGGTAGGTAGAAACCCCACATAACCCCCCTCATTTATCAAGACTTTTGTTTTATTTGTTCTTCTACCCATATTACAAATAAAGAAATCTTGAGTTGGCTACCACAGAAAGACGGTTTTATTCAAAACTAAGTGATATCAAATCTCAGATTCTCAGGCCTCTTCTCAGTTTAGGTAGGTAGAAACCCCACATAACCCCCCTCATTTATCAAGACTTTTGTTTTATTTGTTCTTCTACCCATATTACAAATAAAGAAATCTTGAATTGTGTTTACCTATTTCTTACCTTTTCCTTCCTTTTCATACAAAGACAGTCAACATCCTTAAACTATCTCCGCTTTATCAATAGCTCCAGACAGATAAGGGTCTTATTCTGCAGTAGCATGAATTGATTAAATTTGATTTTTTTTTTAAGCTTTAATCAGCTACAAAGAGAGATTGACAGTGATACAGTAATAAGCAGGAAATGGATTGCAGTAGTTCTAGATGGGGGATCTGTTGTCTGGTTCTCTAGGAGATTAGAATGGAATACAGAACAAACTGAAGGGCCTATTGAAGATCAGCTTCCTCTATTTCAGGTTTTCTAAGTTTAGCCCTGGATTCAGAAAATGGAGAGGAAGGGTTTTTTTCTCCCTCTTCTCTTTCTTTTCCTCTCTGTGTGAGGACTTATAGTTCAGAACAACACCTGGTACTTAAATTCTGCCATATTACTATGTCAGTTTTGTGATATTACCACATTGTCAGTTTGTGTGACTCAATTCATTGTTTTTAATGGGAGAACATTTACTTTTCAAATAATTTATTCTTTCTGAATATAATTCCTTTGTAATGGGGATTATCTGCATTTGCTTTTGTTTTTAGTAGTCTGTTTGGTTTCTATTTCGAGGCTTTAACCAAAATATTGCTTTGCCTTTTTAAATGCTGGAGAGTCCCTATTCCATAAATTCTCTAATGTGCCAGCTTGCTCAGACTTTGGCAAGAGGAAGGAAGGGATCTAAACTAGAAGCTTTTTGAATTGTTCTGAAAGGAAGCCAAGGTCTACCTTTTTCCTGTTCTGATTCCTGACTTCTATGTTAGTCTCACAGACCTTAGCCTCACTACTTGGAGAAAAGCCCTAGAAATGAGTAACACTGAACTGGGATAAAGCAGGTAATTTCCCAGTATCCCTCTATAAAGTTCAAAGCAAACTGGGCAGTGATTTTTTTGGATTGCCCTCTTGACACTGAGATGAGGGCTTGCCCGAGAGGGGAAAAGGACAGAAGTTAGTACAAAAGTTGAATATGTTAACCAGGATATAACTGTAGAAATGAGTTTTGTTCCTGGCTGTTGATAACCAGTTGTGTGAAATCAGGTAATTCACTTACCTTCTGCCTCCAGATTATGTATCCTCAGAGAGAGAGGATCTTTGAACTTGTTTGCTTTAACACCATTATTTGGGTTCTGTATGTGAGACTACTTCTCAACATGCAAGTATTTTTAGAAAAGAGGAATTCTTAATCATAAATTATTCAAGTAGTGATTTATATCTTCATTTCTCTATAGAGAATTTGGGCTCTACAAGTACAGTCCAGCTGTTGCAGGAGGTGGCCAGCCGATTCAGCAAGCTGTGTTACCTGATTGGTCAGCACGGAGCCTCGCTGAGCAGCTTCCTTCACGGGATAAAGGAAGCCAGGAGTTTGGTGATTCTGAAGCATGCGAGCCTCTTCCTGGATAGTTACACAGAGCAAGTATCCAGTCCCTGTCATGTTCAGTCTCTGCAGGGTTATTCTGCCAAGGAGAACAGCTCCTTAATCAGAGGAGACTAGATTAGGGAGAGTGATCTAAGGTAACAGATTGCAAAGCAGTATTTTAATCTTAAGCTAACTCTAGTTCTGCATGGCTACAACTTTAGTTTTCTAAGGGGACATGGTTTAAGTATAAATCATGTTTTTTTCTATCTCATAGCAGAATGATCAATAGTATAACTACATGAAAGGTCCTGAAGTTAATATGGTTCTTTAGAGAACTAGTTTGTTTAAATATATTGTACTAAATTTGAGGAAATAAGTAACTAAGACTAATGGCTAATTGTAAATATGGAGCCGTCCCAGTGTCTACTTTCTACTGTTATAGAATGGAAGGCTCAAAAGTGAAGCTACCCAAAAAAATAAAGATGTTTCCTTCATAAAATTGAGGGTAATTAGCCAATGTTCCTTTATTTTTTTTTCCAAGTAAAAACATTCAAAGTATATTTTAAACTTAAATATTCCTCACTTTTGCCTAATTTGTATTTTGATATCATGATGTGATGCATAATTTCTGTTGCTTAAATGGACTCGGTTATGCTATTGATAAGCATTTTCTTTACTTAAATTCATACCTCATCCATCTCACAAGTGATGACTGAGCACTCACTAAATGCCAGGCACTATGTGCTACTCCAAAGCCATAGCAACACAGCTTGGAGCCAGTGAAAAACACCAGGCTTAAGAACTTCGTGTTCTGTCAGTGTTGCATTAGGTTATTTATAACATAGGTAATGTGTGTTTATCAGTGAAAGCTATGCTGAAGTTACCCGTAATCCTCCCACTAGAAGTAATCTGTAAATAATTGTGATCTTTTCAGACTTTCACATATGTGTGCAGATAAATGTATGATTTTAATTCTAAGCAAAATTGAATATATTTGAAGCTTTTGTTGAAAGAAAATATCTTCGTTAGAGTTATCTCCACTCTTCCTTTTTATATATGAATTAAAACATAATTTGATACAAATTTACTTTTTAAATTAGATTTTATGTAAAAGTTTCAGTTTTTATTAGAATAGTTTTCCTATGTTAACTTAATTCTCTCCTGATCTGTTTCACTTTTTCTCCTCTAATTTTTGAGGACTTATGCTCACAAAAGTGTTTTTATTTTTGATACATTGGGCAATTTTTAGCATAATAATTCATATAACTGAACAAAGTGAAAAATCCTAGTTTATTTATGAATTAAAAATTAGCTTAATTTTCAGAATTTACCATCTTTCTTTTTTTAAGATTTATTTATTCATAGAAGAACTGGAGTGTAGGCCAGAAGTATGGAATATGAGATGATTCACCAGAGACAGAGTAGGGAACTGAACGGCAGATCTACTGAAATACACTGCTAAGGGGAGCAGTGGATGAGACAGGAGAGGTCTGCTGCACCATCTGTGGGTTAGTTCCCTGGCCAGGGATAGAACTCATGCTGTAGTGACTGGTAAAAGCTTGATGACTGAGACTTAACCCCCTATGTCACAAGGGTGGCCTTAATGTACCATCTTAATTTATAAGTGTAAATTTCTAATTTATACTTAATTTGTAAGTATACATTTATAATTTATACCTTGGGCTGTTTTGAATAGCAATTTGTCTTTTCTCTCAAAGGAGTATGGAAGAAAAATATATATGCTTCAAAGTAGTATATCAGTATTTAACCATATCCTAACACTGTCTTGCACAAATTCTTTAAACACATTTTCTTCCTTTTCTATTGGTAATTTTATTTCATTAATTGGAAGCCCTAAAATGAATATTTTCATTAGTAATCCAACAATTTGAATCATATTTTCTTAAGTTTGCAAAGTTTCCAAGTAAGTTGTAGAATCTTTTTGCAAAGCTTGAAGTGTTTTTACAATTCCTATTAAGTCAACATCTTTACTAAATAGCATTTTACCCTGTTGTGGTTATAGCTTAATCTTCCCTTCTCTGTAGTACTTTACAGTCATGAATGTTGACGTCACAAAAGTTCAGAAACTCATTAGGGAGACACCAGAAATATCTGTTGCAGATGCTCTTTGAAAATTCTGAAGAACTAATTTATGTTTTAACACTAATGTACTTGTGTTTTTGTTTTCTGTTCAAGGTATTGCACATCTATTACAAATTTCCTGGTTATGGGAGGATTCCAGCTTCTTGCTAAGCCTGCCATGTAAGCAAATGCATTCCCAAAAGTGATCATTCTAACAACAAAAGATCTGTGTTATAGTACTGTGTATTTTTGAGTGCCTAGGAAAAGCCTTGATTTGGTCATTTTGCTAAACATGTCAACAGTTTTTAAAACAGGTTTTAAAAAATAGATATTTTAACCTCTAGTTATCATTGGAAATAGTATGGTGTTGCAAAAGGCAGATGATTTGAGTCCTGCTTTAGCGGTCTCACTTACTATCCCTGATATTCTTGAGAATTCTTTTCACCTTATTGAGATTTGCTTTTTTTAATCTGAAAAATGGAAATTCTCTGCCTTGATTATGAAGAACAAATATGTGCTGATACACAGAAAGGTGCAAAGTGTTATATAAATATAGAATTTTGTGTGTTTAGTTTCTAGGTAAGTAAAAAACCATCTTATATGAGACTCATCATTCCAAACTGTGTAGTTCCTTGAGAATTGTTGAGCAGGCAACAAAAGCAGATTTTAAAAATTCAGTTATGTTTTTATTAGAAAGTGTTTTAAATATGCTCCCATCACCTAGATTTGCCAAACATTGTATTTTTCCATGTTTGTCTTTGATCATGTATCTGGATAGAGAAATACCTTCCTTATCTCATATAAATGCATTAAATACTTTTTTTTTTTTTTAAGATTTATTTATTTATTCATACAGAACTGGGGTACAGGAGAGAGATGTGGAGGGTGAGAGGATTCACCAGGGACAGAGTTGGGAGCAGAACAGGCAGATCAATGAAGTACACTGCTGAGGGGAGCAGCGGGCGGGTCAGGAGAGGTCTGCCACGCCATGTGGTCACCTCCGAGGCAGGCGGGATCGAACTCATGCTGAAGTGGCTTAAGCTTCTTAGTGCTGTGCTTTAACCCGCTGCGCAACCAGGGAGGGCCGCATTAAATACTTTTAATATTTACCCAAAAAAGATGATTGTCTTAGGTGTTTGATGATAGCATTTATAAAATTAGAAAGCTCCCTTCTATTCCTAAAAGTTGAGGAGGAATTGTTATTATTGTGTCCTCAATGTAAATACAATAGTGGTCCTTATGTGATTCACAACCAATGTATTTAATTGAGTTCTGCCTTTTATTTCCTTCTTTCTTAATCACCTAAGGCTATACTTTTCTAATGATCACTTTAGCTATACTTAAAAGTTTTCATAGTTTGCTTTCATAGTCATTCAGTTCTAAATGTCCAGTTTCCATCATGATTTCATCTTTGACTGGTCATGTGGTTATTCATTTCCACAATATAGAGTTTGTCCTTTTTTTTTTAAAGTCAGAATAAAGGGTATATTTTAACTTTATGTACTAATTTTAAAATCCTTGAGTTTGCTCTTTAGTTGAATAACGGGATGTCACAATTTTATTTTGCTTCCAGCCTTTTTTCATTGTACTGTAATGTTTATATATATTCCTTGTAAGCAGCAAATGAATCGACTTTGTTGCTTTTTCAATCTGAGAGCTTCTGACTTTTAGCTAACAAGCGTACATTTGTTATTTCCTAATTCTGCTTTTATTATAGATTTGTATTTGTTATTAGCACCACGCCCTAACCAACTGAGCTAACTGGCCAGCTGCTCTAGATTTGTAATGATTAAGATTTATTTAACCTGAGTGTTGGTGAAATGCTGAACATTGGCTAAAGAAAATAGAAAGGATTGCAAACCCAGGATTAAATGAAGCAGAAAGAAAGTTGGATAGTTATTTTTGCTAACAGCAGTGATGAAGAAAAGTATATTGAATTACATGAGGAGGTTAGATGGAAACTGACATTTAAATGGAGAGGCTTCTGGACTTCTTAAAGGACCATGACAGTTGCCTGCTGCATGGTTAGGTTTAATTATTAACCTTCCTTTAGTAATTTAGAGTTGAGTTCACAGTGTTTCAGCTCTTAAATTAGCTTAACTCTTGTTAGAACAGCTAAATTAAATCACCAAAGTGAAAGCCTCTTGTTAGAGTCCAAACAACTATAAAACAATGAAAACTCTGTGATGTTGTATTGTGGTAGCAGTTTTTGTTCTTTTGTTTTTGTTTTTCTCTTGTATACCGCCATTCAATCTTAATCTTGACTGCCAAAATCAGAAAGACAGCGTGAGGAAACCTTTTTTTTACCTTTTTTTTTTTTTTTTTGCAATCTATACTGGAGACCTTGGTCACAGACAGTATGGCAGCAGATATTAAGTCTGGATTTAGGCATTTCCCCAGTGGTGGTTAAAGGACCCTAGCTTTGGGGTTAATAAATGTAGTTAACTTTGCACTGGGGTTAATTAATAGCCAAAGGTAGTAGTAACATCTTTGAACTTTTATTTACAAAGTCAATATTTAAAATTTTTTAGGGTGTTCATTTTAAAGAGAACAGTTTAAGAACCTCTAGAACACAACTAGTGAACCTAAGTAGCAGTTACTAGTCTTGCTGTCAAGCTGGCTTATCAGCTCAAGCTGTCATTTC